GCCCAGCTAATTTTTTCTATTTTTAGTAGAGATGGGTCTAACTCTTACTCAGGCTGGTCTCGAACTCCTGGGCTCAAGTGATCCTCCCCCCTTGACCTCCCAGAGTGCTAGGCATGAACCACTTCACCTGGCCTTCCTCTTCTTATAAAGCCATCAGTCCCACTCCCATGATAACCCATTAATCCATTAATTCATGAGTAGATTAATCCATTTATAAGGGCAGTCCCCTCATGATACAATCACCTGTTAGAGGTCCTACCTTTCAATAGTGCCAAATTCAGATTAAGTTTCAACAAGAATTTTGCAGGGAACAAACACCATCATAGTGGGAGATCTGAATACACCTTTCTAAGAAACTGATGAATCAAGAGAATGGAAAAGTCAGTAATAATATAGAAAATTTGAAGAATTTATCAACAAGCTTATAGAATGGACATACATAGTATAATTTGGATACAGATTCTTTTCAAGCACACAAAGGAACATTTATGAAAACTGACCATATCTTGGGCCTTAAAGCAAGTCTCAACAAATTTCAGGGGATTAGTAACACCCAGATCCTCTTCCTTAGCTATAATGCAATTAAGTCAGGAATCAACAAGAGACAGGTAGAAAAACTTTATACTTGCAGAAATTTTAGAATAAACTGCTAGATAAGTTGAGTCAAAGAAGAAAGCACAATGGAGTTAGAGAATATTTAGAACTGAATAATGACAAAAATGTTAGGTATCAATATTTGCAGCATGTAGCTAAAGGGATACTTATAAAGAAATTTATAGCATAAATCTCTACATTAAGAAAGAAAAAGGTAAAAATTAATGAGTTAATCATCCAATTTAAAAAGATGAAAAAAATAAAAGGGACAAAGGAAAAAGATAAGAGCAAAAACAAGCATACGAAAGAGAGACTGCACAAGCAAAGATTTTAGGAATTAAAAAAAGAATATAACTACAGATGCCAAGGAGATTAAACAAACAATAAGAAATATTCATAAATAATTTTATGACAAAAAATTGGAGATTTTTGATTTGATTGATACATCCCAAGAAAAATGTTATCAAAGTTGAACCAAGAATAAATTAAAAAATCTAAGCAGTCCTTTAACCATTAAAGGAATTAAATCAGTAGCTAAAAATCCACAAAGGAATGACATGTCCAGATGGTTTTATAGTTGAGTGTTACCAAACATTCAAGCCACAGATGAGAAGACTTCATATATGGAGCGAGATATATTATACATGGATAGGAAACTTCAATATTATAAATATGTCAGTTTTTCCCCAGATTCATCTATAGATTCAATGTGATTCCAAACCAAATCTCGACAAGGTCTTTCTTGGACTTGGCTACCAGATTCTAAAATGTGTGTGGAAAAGGAAAGAGGCAGTATTAGCTATTTCATTAGCAAAGAAGAACACCAGGCAGGGAGACTTGCACTACTAAATATTAAGGCTTATTATAAATTATTATTGTGATCAAGATAGTATATTTTTGACCCTTATATGAGAGGCTCAAGGGAGCTCCCTTCTGCCGCTTCTGCCATGCAAGGACACAGTAAGAAGGCATCACCGAGGACAGCAGTCCCCACCCCCCGGCTGCTGACTGTGGCCTGTTAGGAACCCGGCCAGCGAGTGACTGAAGGTTCTTCTGTATTCACAGCTGCTCGCATCACCACCTGAGCTCCGTCTTTCCCCCCTACCTCCTCCACCCTGTCCGTGGAAAAATTGTCTTCCATGAAACCGATCCCCCAAAAATGTCGGGGACCACTGATCTAGGAGAAACAGGCCCTCACCAGACATGGAATCTGCTGGCAGCTTGATCTTGGACTCCCTAGCCTCCCAGAAATGTGAGACATAAATTTCTCTCGCATATAAATTACCCAAAGGTATTTTGTTATAGCAGCCTTAATGGACTAAGACATATAGTATATTGCTTAGAAATGTTCTTGAATTGCATGAGAATTGCCCAAAACCATATTTGCAATGCCAAAGACACTGCTGATGTTGGGCACGATCTCCAAGAGATTATTATCAAAGATATTAAATCATTCTAGACTATTCTGAAAGGCAAAGATAATTAACTTTGATCAGTAATTCCAAACTTTTTCAAGTATAATGTGCTTTTTATAATGGCAAAAATATGGCACGGGGCTGGGAGTGGTGGCTCATGCCTATAATCCTAGCACTTCGGGAGGCCGAGGCAAGAGGGTCCCACTGCCTGCTGTCTGCAAGCTGGAGACCCTGGAGACCTAGGAAAGCCACTAGTGACATTCAGCCTGAGCCCAGAGAGCTGAGAGAACCAGGGGAGCAGGTGGTGTAAGTCCCAGTCTGTGCACAGGAGAACATGTTCCAGGTCAAGCAGAGAGGCAGGAAAAAGGGACAAATTCCTCCTTCCTCTGCCCACCTGCGTGGGGGAGGCATCTGCTTTGCTCAGTCCCCTGATGCACGTGCTAATCTCATCCAGAAACACCCTCGCGGACTCACCCAGAAATAATGTCTAATCTGGGTGCCCCACGGCCCAGTCAAGTTGACACGTAAAATTAACCATCGCAGCTGCTATGAGCGTGAGTGTACAGATTTTGTGTGACACGGGGCTTATCTGAGATATTGGTTATTTTCTATTTCTTCAACAGCTTGTTGGTACACGGGTTTTTTATTATCATTTCTTATATCTTACACTTATATTACAAATATTCTTCTATGTAGATGTAGGATTTAACAAAACTCATTAAAAAGTACACGTAGTCCACGGTATTCCCGGAGAATACCGAGAACTGGCCACACTGCCTCTGGGGGACCGGATGGCCGCGGCTGGCGGTGGGGAGCGTGGAGGCTTGTCGTTCCTCTTACAGCCTTTTGTGCAATGACACACACACACACACACACACACACACACTCGGTATATATAGCCAAGGACATAAGCACTCCGGGTGGTCCTGCTGCTCTCCAGCGGGCTGTGCGTGGGCCTGCCCTGCCCCATCCTCTGCCCCACTCAGCGAGGACAGTAGGGACACAGGCGGGATTCTCATGCTCCTCCTTCCGTGTGCTCCTGGGCCTGATTTTCTGACACTCTGGACACACTGGCTCAGGCGAAAGGCTCAAAGTGCAGTGAGAGGACAGTGACATTTCTCCCCGCACAGTCAGGTTAGTCACTGCGCCAGCCCCACCTCAGATGCCCTCCGGCACAATGCCCAGAGGTCCTCCTGCTCAGGGAAAGAGGAACGTGATGTCGTTGCAAGGGGATGGCACCAAGAGGACGAACCCACGGGCAGGCTGTGGAAAGGTGTCGGCACGCCCCACGGGAGGCCAGCCCAAAGCGCTCCGGCCCGGGGCAGCGGTACACAGCCAGGCCAACCCCACGGTCCCCTCCAGAGCGGGGACTGAGGGTGGTCCTACGGCAGCCTGAGGAGGGAGTGGCGATGCTGAGAGAGGCCGAGTCTCCATGGGAGCGGCTGGTCGGCGGAGATGCTGCGGCTCCGGAGTCCTTTTCCAGGTCCAGCTCACCTGCATCCTCACATGAAAGCTCTCTTTTTTATTATTTTCTGAAAGCCTAAAGAAGGTAAGTTACAGATTCTTGCTTCCGGCCCACACCCCCCACAAAAGGATGCTAAGCTCCTACCCCGTCCCACCCCCTTCCCCGCTCTCACACCCCTCAGGGAGGCCACTAAGCTCCTCCCCGTCCCTTCCCGTCCCAGTTTGCCTGGAATGTGACAGCTCTAAGTGATGTCAGAGGACAGATCTTCGTTTGGGGTCTGGGTGGGATAACATGCAGGTGCCTCGAAGAAGCGGCCTCTACACACCCAGGCAGTGACGGATTCTGGTTTCCATGTGGCCTAGAATGAATGTTTCTGAACTGTGGGTGGGAGGCGGAAAGGGGAGCGGCTTCCCTCTGTAGCTCTGGCCCGCAGGCCGCTCTGTTCCGGAGTGGGGGGACTGTGCCTCCAGGGACATGTTGCATCCAGCTCCACTGGGTTTGAACTTGGTGGAAATGTCTGCGTGGCCGGGCACCGGGCAGTCCCAGTTTGGGGACGTGGGTCTCAGTCTCTTGGGTCTCCTCCCTCCTTCGCTTGGAGCTCTTCCCCCTGGCCTCGGTCTCCCCTCCTGCCTCTCCCCACAGCCAGCTGATCTTGCCTGTCCCCCTTCCCTTCTCCTCTCCGCCTGAAACTGTGCCCCTTCCGCACCTGCCACCAGGTCCTTCTGAATCTACATCTCGAGCTCAGATTTCTCTTCTCTCTGCTGATTTCCAAATCTCATTGTATGTGCCCCGCCTCTGCTCGAAGATAGAGCACATTCTTAATGAACCTTGATTTCTGTCTTCAAATATTTGTATGCCTTGACGGGGTCACAGGGAAAACGAAACTCAGAGGTCATTTAAGGCGGGACACGCAGGCAGCAGTGCAGGAGACATCATCTCGCTGGAAGGATGGCCTTGGTAAGTCCCCAGAAAGGGTGTCACAGCTTTTGCTTGAATAACAACCCTGTCAGTGGTGACTGTGTGTGTTTTCCTCGTTGGTCCACAGCTCCTGCACAGACGGGGCACGGGCACACACCGAGGTCTGAGGGTCTGGCTCTCAGACGCAGCGGGAAGGGACCAGAATGGTGGCTGGGAGCCCAGAGGCATCCCAGCCTCAGCCGCTGCGTGGGGTCTGGTTTCACTGCGGCCAGAGGCCAAGGAGCGACATGGCCTGGTTTGGGTTTGTGCCTTTCCACAGCCACACGGCCAGAGGCTCTGCAGGCCTGTCGGGGCAGGAACGGTGGGCTGTGGGCGGCTGCACTGCTCCAGGGCCCAGGCCTCCTCCTCACACTGTGCTCGGTGGGTGGACAAACTGGGGAGCAGGCGCCCAGGGAAATGGCCCACAGCCGCACGGGTGGGGGCGGTGTCAGAAAGGCTCCCGTCCCCCCTCACTTCCAAACAGGGCAGGTCCTACTTTCCCCTCCTTCCCTCCACCCCCGGTAGCAGACTCATCCCTGAGTACCTGCTGCATCCTGACACCATGCCAAAGGCTTTAGTTTCATCGACACCAGGTCATTAACATACAACCTTGAGAAGCAGGAATAATTACTCCCAACTTTACAGATGTGGGGAGTGACACTCTGGGAAATACCAGAGAGGGGATTTGAACTTAGGTGGGTCTGACTCCAAAGCCTTTACTTAAAAAAAAAAAAGAAACTAATTTCTTTAATCCCACAGAGAGTGTGTGAGTACATTGACCTAGTTTAAAAAACTGAAACCAAAACTATTAGCATGAAAGCTAAAGCCCTCCATCATCCTCCCCATTGGAGATACTTCCCCTCCGTACAGCCTTGTGTGTGCGATTCCAAATATTCTCTGTGCTTTTGCACACATAGATACAGCTACCTTATAAGTATTGGCTGGTGGCTTTGGGTTTTGTTGTAGTTTTTATTTGAGTTCCCTGAGTGTAGCTCATTTAGGAAATGCTTGAATCTTTTTCTTTATTTACCAGTTTTTGGGATAAGATGGAGGTTCCTTTCCATCCTCCAGAGATAACTAGTGAGTTTAAAAAAGATCATTATGAGTTTTAACATATTTGATGTGTTTCACTCTATGTGCAATTATTATTTTTGATGCTCTAATTGTTCCATCTTTGGTCAAGTTGACTCTTGACTGCTGTAGTCAAAAAAGGCTTCGTTTTTAACTAAAGCCTCCACCAGGCTTGCAGTCAGCTGGCATTGTCACCTCTCTCAGCAGCAGCTCAGCTCCCTGGTTAGGGTGGCCTGGCCCTCTGTGGCCTGGCTCAGCTGAGGTAGGGGGAGGAGGAGTGCTGGCTGGCCTGGGAGTGTTCCCAAAATAGAACTGCTACGGCCAGGACTGTTTCTCATTCTAGGTGTGGCCAGGGCAACATGCCTCCTGCTCACAGAAACTCCGCAAAGGCACTGCCCACCAACAACTGCAACCACACCCTGTCATCCCAGGCCCCGATTTGGCTTGCAGCGTAGACTCGAGCTGCCCCAGCCTTGCCTGGCAAGTTCTGGGATGGCTGAGGGCATTAACGTTGGAAACATTCAAACCCACGTTTCCGACTTGCTCTTCTGCTCACTAGGCGAGTCATCTGACCTTCCCGAGACTCCAACTGCTTATCTGTCCAGTGGGGTAATGAGAGTTCTTACCCAGAGGAGTGGATAACGTGGGTCAAGTGTCCAGCGCCGCCTCTGGCACGTCAGGCTTTGCAAGGCAGAGCTCTATGGCTCACAAGAATCACTTGGGCATGGGCATGAGGCAGGTGGCCCTCAAAGACTCCTTTGGAATCGTACTGTTACTTGCTGACACAAACATGCTCTGTGCATAAAGTTCCCTCTCGCCCAGCTTGTGCACACCCTTCCACCACACTCCCGTGCTCACACCCGCTCACGCAGTCCCTCAAAGACACCCCTGTATCCCCTCCTTGTCTCCTGAAGAGCCCGTTTCCAGCCCCACAACCCCAGTAAGTAGAGGGGCTTCCCACTGGTGCGAGGAAAGCTCCTGTCTCCTCGTTTGCTGTAGGTGATGAATAAAGAGAGTCTCCAGGCTGGGCTGGGTCTCCATGCAGATCAGGTTCTAGAACGTTCCCTGCAAAGGCTCACCTCTACCTGTCTCTGATTTTTCTGTTGCAGGCCAGACCAAAACTCGGAGACCTGATTGAGATTTTTCGCTTTGGCTATGAGCATTGGGCCATCTATGTGGGAGATGGCTATGTGGTCCACCTGGCTCCCCCAAGTAAGGACACATTCTCTTTTTAAGCACAAAGGTTCAGATCAAGGTGGGGAACGGATGAAAAATTATGTGCTTGTCCTCACTTTAGGGCCTAGCAAGTAGGCACTCAATACATGTCTGCTGAACGGATCATGCTCTTGCCGGCAGGTGTATCAACTGCTCTTCCATAGCAGTAAGTTGGTGGAGAGACTGTTGACCTTTATTCCATGATAGAGTAGGGTTCAGTCCTAACAAACCCATTGGACTTGGTGAGCATCCCTCCATGGGTCCCATCGCGTGTGTATTTGTTGTTCTGGAGATACGAACAAGAGTAGGAAGCAGTTGTTTCCTTCGAATGGTTTATAACTGGCTGTGTAGTGCGGTGGACGGAGTGTGGGCCTCCCAGCTCAACAGAACCTGTTTGGGATCCTGGCTCCTCTGCTTACTGACCGGGTGACCTGAACTTAGTGATGTGCACCCTCTGCAGAGCAGGGATAAGAAGCTCTACCTCCCAGGTCGTGGAGGGAGGCAATGAAGACATACATGGAAAAGCACGGGTGCAGGGCCTGGCCAGGGGCTGGGGCAACCTTTTCTTCTGAAGCATCATGGCATCCAAGAAAATGCCCAAGCACTGGAAACCACTCAAGTGCACAGCAGCAGGGAATTGGTCAAATAAAATAGATATATCTGCCTACAACAGAATGCTACACATACAGTCACTAAAAGCAGTTGTGCAGCAGGTGTATATATATATATGTGTACATAAATGAGATCAGATCAAGTTAGAGAAATTTAAAAGTTTTGTTGTACACACAAAAGAACAGTTTACAAACCAAGGGACTTTGAACCAAAAATGGCAAGATGCTTAGCCCATAGCAGTGACGGCTCAGCTTACAACACACGAGTGAGAAAGTACATTGTCTTCTACTGCGGTTGGCTACTAGAGACTTACGTTCCTTTGAGGTAGTCCTGCTGCAGACACTTGTTGGCAGCTGACTGGCAAGCAAGCTATAAGGTCGTGCTGACGTGAGGAAAGCTGGGAATATTCAAACTGTGGCCTCTGTTTCGGTTCCTCTTTCACAATTCCCCTCTTTTGGTCATTCTCTCAGTTGGACTGAGAGCGTGATCAACCCATTAAGCATTAATCTTGGGCATCATGTGCTGTTTGTCCTTTCATGGCCATCCAAAGATCCCAAACCAAGATTTCAGTAGATTCCCAGTGTATGTCATTTTTGTTGTTTAATTCTCATAGAGATCATCAGAGGGGTCAGTGTTGCTGACGCGCGTGTAAGGCTGTTGAAGGGTACACTGCATGAGGGCTGTCATCAATGTGACTAATAGAAGGATCATACCAAGTGTTTAAAAAATATCCCACAGACAAGGTCTGCCAGAGCCAAGATTTAACCAACTAAATAGATCAACTGATTTTGTGTCCCTGATCAGGTGAAATACCTGGATTTGATCCTTTAGCTATTTAAGATTCTGGGCTACAATTCTTGGCTTATTAACATAGAAGCAGCATTTTTTCTGATAAGAGCACAAGCTCCATCTTGCTGAGCAGTGAGGGTATCAAGAATGCTTCTGTTCTGGAGGACCGTTGAAGCTAAACGGCTTATCCTGGCTTGGATCACTTGAGGAGCGTTTAAGGTATCATTAAAACTCTTTTCAAGAGTTGTAGAAATATTGATAAGTGATTTTCTAATTCAGAGACTCCCAGTTGAGGGACGAGGGCTCTAACAAAATAATGAAATCCAGAGCTTCTTCATGTAATTGGGGTTGGAAGCTTGCAAGAAACTCATTTATGGAGAGTTGTTTTGTTTAAATGATCCCAAGTTAAGATTTTATTGGCATTTATAAAGTCATACTTGCTTATTTGGGGTGAGAGATATCCCAGCCTGTATCTTCCAAACTGTTTGGATGGGAAACCTTTGTGTATCTTATTACCACAAAGAATGAACAATCCAGTATTTTTGAGGGAGGGAGTTGAGGTGGATCCCATCACCCACCAATCAGAAGTGATATAAATATCATGATTATTTTTGTCACTGTGGCATCTGCACATTGCCAGTTTATTTATTTATTTATTTTATTTTTAAATTTCAGAATGTTGTGGGGGTACAAACATTTTGGTTACATATATTGCCTTTGTACCGCCCAAGCCAGAGCTACAAGCATGTCCATCCCCCAGATAGTGTGCTCCTTATCCATTAGTTGTGAATTTACCCATCCCCTCTACCCTCTCCCACCTGCCCAGCACCCGATGAATACTACCTTCCATGTGTACACCTAAGTATTGATCAGTTAGTACCAATTTGATGGTAAGTACATGTGGTGCTTGTTTTTCCATTCATGTGATACTTCACTTCGGAGAATGGGCTCTAGCTCCATCCAGGATAATACAAGAGGTGCTAGATCACCATTGTTTTTTGTAGTTGAGTAGTATTCTATGGTATACATATACCACATTTTATTAATCCACTCATATATTGATGGGCACTTGGATTGTTTCCACATCTTTGCAATTGTGAATTGTGTTACTATAAACATTTGAGTGCAGAGTCTTTTTTATAGAATGACTTTTTTTCCTTTGAGTAGATGCCCAGTAGTGGGATTGCTGGATCAAATGGTATTTCTATTTTTAGCTCTTTGAAGTATCTCCAAATTACTTTCCACAGGGCTTGTACTAATTTGCAGTCCCACCAGCAGTATAAGAATGTTCCTATCTCTCCACATCAACACCAGCATTTGTTGTTTTGGGACTTTTTGATAAAAGCCATTCTCACTGGAGTTAAGTGATATCTCATTGTGGCTTTCATTTGCATTTCCCTGACAATTAGAGATGTTGAGCAATTTTTTATATGTTTGCTGGCCATTATTCTGTCTTCTTTTGAAAAGTTTCTGTTCATGTCCTTTGCCCACTTTTTAATGGGTTTTTAAATTTTTTTCTTGTTAATTTTCCTAAGTTTTATATAGATTCTAGTTATCAGCCCTTTATGGGAAGTGTAGCATGCAAATATTTTTCCCCATTCTGTAGGTTGTCTATTTGCTCTAATGATAGTTTCCTTGGCTGTGCAGAAGCTTTTTAATTTGATCAGGTTCTACTTATTAATTTTTGTTACTTCTGTGATTGCTTTGGGGTCTTCTTAATAAATTCTTTCCCTAGGCTGATGTCTATAAGAGTTTTCCCAATATTTTCTTCTAGAATTCTTATGGTTTCATGTCTTATGTTTAAGTCTGTTATCCATTGTGAGTTGATTTTTGTGAGACGTGAGAGATGCAGATCCAATTTCAATCTTCTGCATGTGGCTATCCAATTTTCCCAACACCATTTATTGAATAGGGATTCTTTTCCCCAATGTATGTTTTTGTCTGCTTTGTCAAAGATTAGATGACAATTTGAGGATGGTTTTATATCTGAGTTCTCAGTCCTGTTCTAAAGGTCTATATCTCTGTTCTTGTGCCAGTACCATGTTGTTTTTGTTACTATAGCCTTGTAGTACAGCTTGAAGTCTGTTAGATTGATGCCAATTTGTTCTTTTTGCTTAAGATTGCTTTGGCTATATGGGGTCTTCTCTGGTTCCATAGAATTATTTTTTCTAGATCTGCGAAAAATGATGTTGGTATTTTGATGGAATTGCATTAATTCTGTAGATCACTTTAGGTAGTATAGACATTTTAACAATATGGATTCTGCCCATCCATGAGCATGGTAGGGTTTTCCATCTGTTTACATCCTCTGCAATTTTTTTTCTCAGTGTTTTGTAGTTTTCCATCTATAGCACTCTCACTTCCTTAGTTAAATATATTTCTAAATATTTAATTTCCTTTGATGCTATTGTGAAAGGTGTTAAATCTTTGATTTGATTTTTGGCTTGACTGCTATTGGTATATATGAATGTCACTGATTTGTGTGCATTGGTTTTGTATCCTGAGACTTTGCTGAATTTATTTATTAATTCCAGGAGTCTCTTGGTTGAATCTTTGGGGTTTTTTAGATATAATATCATATCGTTGGCAAAGAGTGAAAGTTTGACCTCTTCTGCCCCCATTTAGATACCCTTGGTTCCCCACTCTGTTTGATTGCTCTGGCAAGGACTTCCAGCACTGTGTTGAATAGAAGTGGTGATAGTGGGCCACCTTGTCTGGTTCTAGTTCTAAGCAGGAATGCTTTTGATTTTTCCCCATTCAGTAAGGTGTTGGCTGTAGGTTTATCATATATGGCTTTAATAATTTTGAGGTATGACCCACCCCACCTATGCCTATTTTTTAAAGAGTTTTTTATCATAAAACTGTGCTGAATTTTGTCAAATGCTTTTTCTGCATCTATTGAGAGGATCATATGGTCTTTGTTTTTGCTTTTATTTATATGGTGAATTACATTTATAGATTTGCATCTGTTGAAACATCTTTGCAGCTCTGGGATGAAGCCCACCTGGTCATGATGAATTATTTTTTGATGTGTAGCTGAATTTGGTTTGCTAAGATTTTATTGAGAATATAGATTTTTGCGTCTATATTCATAAGGGATATTGGTGTGTAGTTTTCTTTTTTTGTTGTATCCTTTAATGGCTTTAGTATCAAGGTGATATTGGCTTTGTAGAATGAGTTGGGGAGGATTCCATCCTTCTCAATGTTGTAGAATAATTTTGGCAGTATAGGTACCAGTTCTTCTTTGTAAGTTTGGTAAAATTCAGTTGTGAACTCGTCTGGCCTGGGACTTTTTTTATTGGAAGATTTTTTATTGATGCTTCAATTTATGTGCTTGATACTGATCTGTTCAGGAATTCTATTTCTTCCTGATTGAGCCTAGGAAGGTTGTGTGTTTCTAAGATTTTGTTCATTTCCTCCATATTTTCAAGTTTTTGGGCATAGAGATTTTTATAGTATTCAAAGGTGATCTTTGTATTTCTGTGATAACTGTTGTGATCTCTCTTTTTTCATTTCCAATTGAGCTTATTAGAGTCCTTTACTTTCTACTTTTGGTCAGTATAGAAAGAGGGCTGTCAATTTTGTTTATTTTTCCA